CCTCCCCACCCCACATATTTCAGTGTTCTTTAATGAAAAACAGTGAAAACTATACAAACACCCATTCTCCAAAAAATATCACCAGTAGAGCCTTTCATGAACCAGAGTTGGATTTCACAAATTTCCTGATTTGGAAAAAAAGCTGAGAAAAAAAAGTTTAGAAATTGTTGAAATGTTTTGTAACAACATTTCAAAAAAAATTTGTTTTCCTATTTGAAATGACTTAATTTAAACATTTAAGCTACTTAGACGTTTAAAAGTTTTTTAAAAGGTCAAAATCAAAATGAACCATTTCAAAATTACCAAAACAAAATGTTTTGGTGACCTAAATTGACCTAAAGCTGTTTTTTAGGTTAATGAAAATTTTTAAGATTTTGACTTTTCATCACAATTTGGGACAGGAAAAAATGTTGAACTCTTGAAACTATTCAGTATGGGGCAGGCATTTCCCACTCAGCTCTAACCAGTCTTACCAGTCTCTTTACTAACAGTACAGTGACATGTCACTGTAGTAAATATATCATTTGCATATCTCCACTGTCACTATTCTTTTATATCAGAGAAATGCATTTTAATAGAAATATCCTTTCTGATATGCCAAGTATTGCCCCCTTTTTAAGGCTAGGATTATTTCCCCTGTTAACAGTCATTGAGGGAAGGTTACGAAGTCTTTTTATAACAAAATTGGAATTAAGTGTTGCCACCTGATTCTTCCCTTACCCTCCCAGATCACATGACCCCTCTTTAATCATACATTTGAATTGCCATGGACTTTTAGACAATCATCATGTGCACAGCAGATCCAAGAATAACCCACCATCTGTACAATCATTTCTGAAACCAATATTCATCTATCATTAGATCTTTTCATTAGATGATATTTTAGAAGTCATAAATTTTGTTATCTAAAACTTTGTCATCTAAAATGTTAGGTGACAAATTGATGTCATTGCACCCATTAGTCATGTAAGGTTTTAGAGAATATATTCTGCCATGTAATGTTCTAGTCATACAATTTTTATGATAAGAAGTTTTATCGTCTAAAACTTTAGATAACAAATCTCATGACAAACATCATGATCTAAAGAGAACTGCTTAGGACTAAGATGTTAATTAACAAAAATATTCCTGTGAGTAAGCTTTGCAAGCAGACTATATTTTAGATTTTGGAATGATCTGTAAGTGGGTTAAGTATCCAAATCACATTTTTTAAAGAATTTATTTGCTAACGAGGTCTGGAAAATGGCAAGAGTCACTATAAATTTCAAAAAGGGATTGTTTTTAAATGAGTATAACGAAGGATACAATTTGGTCACAGAGGTTACAGATTCCATGACTTTAACAGTCCTCTGAGACTTCTGCTTCAGCCCCAGCTGGCGGGGTCCAGCTGCCAGCCCCAGGCGGCAGGGCTCCAGCTTCCGTGATTTACAGTTTATTGCGCCCATGTCCTGCCTGTGATTTTTAATAACCCCTCCACCCCCATGCCAAAATCTTAATCTTAATTATAACTCATACATGTAACCAACAGATTTACTTGCAAATTCTCAGATGGTTCTAGACTCTAGGAATAAGTGCTTTAAACTTGGATAGGACACATTATATTAGCCATACATAGGGTGACCAGATGTCCTGATTTTATAGGAACAGTCGTGATATTTGGGGCTTTGTCTTATATAGGCACCTATTACCCCCCACCCCATCCTGATTTTTCACACTTGCTGTCTGGTCACCCTAGCCATACAAAACTAAGAGGTTTAATCCTGGCTTTAAATAGAAATGCCAGTGAAACTTTAACTATAGAGCTGTGAGTGTGCACCCATAATTTACTATTTTTTTTTGAGAACTAGGGTTTGTCCATTTATTTAAGACAGAAGGTGAAAAAACTTCCATAGGGATCAATCCTAGAGAATATTTCCAAACATAAAAAGCTCTAATGAGACGATTATAATGTGTCTGTTGCGCAGTGTACAGAGTTCTTAAGACTCATTTAAAATACATTAAACTAAACCTTCATTGTCCTGATGTATGCATCATCAAATGCCACATGGTGAAGAGGGTTAAAAATAAAAAGAATGACATCAATGAATACTTCCTGGGCCAAAGTGCTGGTTCTAATGTGACAAAGAAATCAAGTATAAAGGTCAGAGCTGCCAGAACACAGAATAAACATCCTAATGTATTTCATTCTGTTGCTTCCCATTTTTACCCTGCATTGCTGGAGAAAGATAAGCTTTCCCCAGGAGAAATAGAAAGGAAAGTATGGACAGACAAGTGTGTTAGTACCAAGTAGGAGGCAGAAGTCTTTCCTTTAAAATGCAAAACACATGTATGCATGGCACGCGACACACAACCTACCTCTTCATTACCCTACACACTCACAGCCATAGCAAAGCACAAGGCATGCGGACAAAGCAAAGGAAAAAGAAAAAGACACCAAGACTATATATAATGCTGGCGTGAGGACATCATCACAGCGAGACATCAACAGACAAAATCAAAGCTCTGGAATCTCCCACACTGTCAAGTGCACACAGCTGCCCTCAACAGTGTGTCTTTTAGCAGAGAGAATGTAGACTATTAAAGCAAGAAGAAGCTGTTGAGTCTGTGCAAGTCAGAATGTGTGTACTTGGTGATATTTTTCAGGTTCCATCCTTGTCTCTGACAGCTGACAGCTTTGAGCTAATCTACCACCTGATGAGGGGTGATAAATGGAGACAATGGGTGGTCTCCTAAAATTAGATCTTTTGATCTGGCTGGTGGAAATTGAGTCCACAAAATATGAGATATAACTCTCAAAGAGAATCATAAGTTTCTTTTTACATCTATTTTGGGCCAACTTTTCCAAAACAGATGCTTACATTTTGAACACAAAATGTCCAGGGGTCTGTACCTTTAATTCAAAACTATAATTGCATGCACAAAATGGGCCATCTGCACGCAACTGCCCAACTTGTGCATGTACATGAATATCTTGTATACGGTGCACAGTTAGCTGTTTGTGCCTTCGTTTGCATATTGTACGCATGTATTTTAGCCACTACTTTTGGAGAATCTGGTCCTTCATGAAAGGCAGCATTTTCCCATGAGAGTTGTAGTAAAAAAACAGAGATGATTGTATTTCTCTTCCCTACAGAATCACAGATCAAATACTAATCATACAATCATATGATTAATTCAATTAAGAGATCATCTCTACAGCCTTTGTAGCATATGAAGCAATAAAAAGCTGATTCAATTAATTAATAGCCAAAGTGAAGCAGAAGGGTTGAGTCAATCTCAAGAGCTGTTTATTGTGTGCACTACATGCTAAAAAGCAAGAAAGATGATTAGGACCGTACAGGTTTTGAAATGTACTGTCACTGCCACTTTCTCAGACCTTCCAATGCTATCACACTATTGGTGAGATAGACCCAAATCAAATACCAGTCTCCAAACACCCTCTAAACTTTCAGATGGTGTTGGAAATCCAACCCTGGAACTGAATGCAAATATCCCCTATATTTATAACAGGCCAAACCAAAAATCCGAATTCAAACACCTTAACTGCTGTTGTTTCAAAACCTAGAGCCGTGTATTAACATTGCAGCTTGAACCAGTTTTTAATTGTGGGCGTGGCTGAGATTAATGACTAAGTGGATCAAGGCTTAAAAATGAACATCTCTTTAAGAACAGGTCAATTTTTCAAGGAGCGACTTGCGTGAGAAAGAAGTGATCAGTTAGCACAAGGAGGCACATCTTCAGAGGTCATTCCAAAAATGCAATTTAAAAAAAAAATCCCATCATACACACACAAGCTGGTACGTATGTATGTTAGATCTCAAATAGGTAACAAAGGGGCAGAGTTAAGCCATGGAAGTGGATCAGGAAGGAAATGGTGATTTAGAGTCACATTTATCTCTGTGATTCCTCCATACTCTGTGGGGAAGCAACCTGTTGCTGGTACAGACCAACGATAAATTATTTGCTTCTCCAATGCTGACTCAGCTCTGCTGGCTAGCATTTTGGGAGCTAAGCCAATACTTCAAATCATTTCTCAGCCTTGCCTACCTGCACAGAAAGAGAAGTGTAGTGGTCCCACAGCAGCTGTTTTCTGAGGCAGCTGAGGGCAGGGGTTGTTAATGAGTTATATATTGTTGTAATAATCCATAAATCCAGTGTCCCTGTTCAATCTGTGATTTTTAGTGTATACCTCTATGAATTTAAGCTCCCAGGCTCTTCTTTTGAAAGTGTTGTGCAGGTTTCCTTTGAGGATGAGGACTGATAGGTCAGATATAAAGTGACTGCTTTGTGAAAAGTGTTTGCCCACATGTCTTTTATCATTTTCTTGTGTGAGCTCATTCGCGAGGGTAGTGATTGTCTCGTTTCACCCACATAGTTACTATTGGGGCATTTAGTACACTGGATGAAGTACACCACACATTGTGATAGGCATGTGTAGGACCTCTGGATCTTGAAAGGTGTGTTGTGGGGGTGTTGATCATTGTAGCAGTGGAGATATGTCTGCAGGTTTTGCATTTGTTGTTTTGGTAGGGTCTGATGCCACCCTGAGTTGGTGTGTCCTGGTCTGTGGGCAGCTTGCTTCTGATAAGCTTGGAGAGTTATTTGAAGGCTTGAACCCCCTCACCAACAGAAACTGGTCCAATAAAAAAATATGACCTCACCTATCTTGTCTCCCTATAAACACAGAAGTAAGATTCTACATGTGCAAATAGCTGCATGGAATAGTTTTATGGAGTTGCCTTTGAAAATCTGACCCACAGTATCAAAAATGGCTTCAGTGTTATTTGTGAGGGAAGAATGTTCAATATTTTGGGATTGTGTTCAGCTCAGCATTTTCTCTCCTGTGATATGTAATAGCTGCATCTAAAGTCTCACTTTCAGAAGGGAAAGAAGCAATCTCTGAAGCTGAGTTTTCCTATCTATGAACGTTGACATTCCAAGCCTCCAGCTAAAAAAACCCAAGAAGTGATAACACAATATTCAGGGATAGAAACACTCACCCTGGTTTTGGCATCGATCTGCCCTCCACGATCCAACAAAAGCTTCACCATGTTTGTGTTTCCCCTTTTGGAAGCCACATGCAGTGGGGTGATTCCATTCTACACCATGAAAAGAACAAACAAAGAGCATGATGGACTTGAAAGTGTATAATGGTGATGTCTTTGCGTTTGGATCACAAAAAGAGGAACATCAATACAGTATAGAAGATAAACAAGCATGTTTTTGAGAATCAGAGTTAGGTGCACATATCATTTGAGATACAGATCTTCTGGTGTTCGGGTTTTCTTATAGACATGTATCTTGATTTACTCTTAAGTAACAAAGAAGCACATTCACCAAAACACCAAACATCACAATCACACAGTAAGACAAAACATATATCAGAGCCCAAATTAGTCAATATTCACAGCACACTTATGTATTTAAATCACTGCAACATACACAAAACATACACAGCATGGTGGTTCAGATACAAAGGAAGCTCATTAGCATAACAGAAGTCTGTGTCAAAAACCAGGCCCTAATTAGGCTGGAATATGGTGTTTAATATTTCATTTTCAGCAAGGATGCCCTTGCCGGCACATCAGGTGGAAAACTCTCAGGGAAAATAAGAGAGTCCATTAGTGAGGATAATAGTGTCAGCATGAACATGAAATCCTTCTGAAAGGCAGTTCCTCATAAAGCAATTCAACAAGGCTCTGGCAATGAAAAACGAAACAAAAAAATTCCTAATCCAGTGGAGACAGCTATAGCAATGCACATGTTAATTAATTGTTAAGTGACATAGAATAGTAAATGGACTGTATTAGCTAGCCTATGGTTGCGGTTTTTCATGCAAAGATGGCTTTCAGTTAATCAGTACCTTTATTCTGTTTTATATATTCACAATATATTGATATGTTCACATATAATAATATTCTGGAAAGGTAAGTAATCTTATTCTGTTAAATCTTAAAAACTAAGGAGACAGGGCAAAGCCAATGAATAATACTTGTTTTTATAGCATGCCTGACTGTGGCAAGGACTCTTAAATGAGTTGGCACATAAGAGTGTTTGCATTTTACTTTCTAATTGGGACTAACTATTTGTTTGCTTCTAAGCTCACAAGGAATGTGCTGAGTTGCCTGGAAGCACTCTTTAGACATTTATGCAAAAAGATATCTGTGGGCACATGCTGAAATTTCCTCACTTCACTTTCCACTCTGCTTTTGATTAGGAATTTTAAGCAAAGATAGGTTCCCACCCACATCTACTGACTATCCCATCGAAGAAGAAAAAAGGATTCGTCCGTACCCTGGCTGTGAAGTCCACTGCAGCTCCTCGGTTGAGCAGAAGTGTCGCCACATTGACATTTCCATAGTGTGCAGCTATGTGCAAAGGTGTGAAGCCACTCTACAAAAGGAAACAGTCCTAGTTAGGGAACAAATTTCTTCAATGCTATATGATCAGTGTCCTCAGAGAGCTTCTGATTTTAACAGCTTTCGGCAAACAAATGTGTCATGTTACTCTAACCTCGCACACCTACAATATAGCATAGGGTCTTGAACAGAGAATGAATGCAGTTTTTCCCTACTGTGGATTACAAAAAGCTCTTCTTTCCCATTTAGTTCTTGGTCATTTGTGTTATTTGCTATTCCTCGTGAATCTATGCTGCTAACCAGAAAGAGCTGGTCAGACACTGTCAGAGAAAATATTCAAGTGTTTTCCTCCTCCTTTCCACAACACTGAAGCAGAGCTTTCAACCTGTCCTGTTTTGTTGTTGGGCTCTTACTTTGCTGATCTTCTCTTAGAATGGCAAATTTCAGCATGAGAATGCCTTTTTTTGTATGGGAAAGCAACAAATGTTCATATTGTATTGCAAGTATCTTCAAGGCGTGTCAAAATATTTTACTTATTAGACAGTAGAGTTTAATGACCACAATATTCAATATTTATATTAAACCCTGTCTCCTGAGGGATCCCAAAGCACTTCCAAAACAGTATAGTGACCGAAAAACAAAAACCCCATTAAAATGTAGCCACAGTGTAGTGGGCTAGAGTGTGACTACTACTTCTGCCACAGAGTACAGAATGCTGCACAACAGTGTAAGACGAAGTAATTTATTTGAAATACTGATAATGAACAAACTTCTAGTCTTATAAAAAGTTCCAGGAAATCTTTAATGTTCATGAGAAGCAGATCAAATCTTGTTTTTTTAAGATCTCCTCTGAAAGGCCTTAATGTTGCATATATTATGTCCTTACAACACTGCGTCGATTATGGAAGGAACAGTGAAATGTTTTCTGCTTCTGAACATACTGTATTCTAAACCAGATTCCATTTTTTTAACATTGGGATCAGCATAGTAAACTGTTCGTCCATTAGCAAACCATATTCAGATGTTACATACTGGAAACAATTTTTTTCCAAAAAGACTTTGTTCCCAAAAGCACTCAGCCTATTATTTTAATCTCGTTCCATTTACTTCAATGTCAGCCCCAAGATTAAAAGGGTCTGCATCTGATGAAGTGTGTTTTAGCCCACGAAAGCTTATTCCCAAATAAATTTGTTAGTCTCTAAGGTACCACAAGGACTCCTCGTTGTTTTTGCTGATACAGACTTACACGGCTACCACTCTGAAAAGGGTCTAAGTAGAATCAAACACTCATTAAATTCGTGGCCTTGTTGATAGAGTTAGGCTACCAAGAAAATACCTAACAACTCAAGACACTTTTGCACACACATGCATCCAAAATCCATCTCCTCCACCTCGCAAAGCTCCCAACTGACTAAACAAAGGCATTTGAAAACATTACTTAATGATTTGATTCTTGAAAACAAACCCTTCCCCTCAAGGTTGGTGATACTTTTAGGGTTGATATCTGAGTTATAGGCAGTTGGTGTGGCAGACACATCATGCCCTACAGTACTGCTTTCAGGGTTGGTACTTCCAGAATTAACATGAAAAACATGATGGTGCCTGCTGTGAGTAAGTTTTGATTATGCAAGAATATACCCACACACTGCCCTGCACGGATTTCTGAACATTCTGTTAAAACAATTTGTCCCATTCTACTGGTTACTGCAAATAAAAATATGATTTGAACAAATATTCTTCTTGGAGGGCACTATTTTATGTATTAAATGTTTGGCTTTGATACTCTGAAAATGCATACATGTGACAGGTTAATTATCTATTGTATTTCACTTTTTGGTGCATGATGAATTTATCCCCTTAATGAGTTTAGATTTTTTAAACAGATTCAAAACACTTTGGGCCAAGTGACACCTATGCAATCTCACTACAGTTAATGGAGTGGCATGGATATAACCAAAGACAGAATCTTTATTGTCTTGGCATTTGACTTTTGCCAGGATTTTGGATTAGCCTGACACGCCGTTAGTTTTCATTTAGTTTTGACTAATGAATGCTTTTGCATAATTAATTTTACTGAGTTCAAAAATGTATCCATCCACATACCCCCATCTCTAGCCCTTAACACTTTTTGACCACATGTGATATCTCTAATTTACCTCAAGACAATGACACTCTCAAGCCGGAGGAAATTACAAGACAAAGGCAGAACAAAAAAAGGGTTGCTGCTTTACAGATACTGTCACTGACAGGCATTTTAAAAAGTTCCTTAAGTTTCACTTTTAGTGCTAAATAATATAGAAAAGAAATATAGTAGCATAAGGAAGAGCAGTAACCACTAATTAGCAGAAAAAGTTAATTAAAAAAATTGTTGATCTCGGTACCTCAGTTGTTCTATTCACCATCATCTGATGCAGCATGGTTTGGAAAAAAGAGGAAAAATATTACAGATCATCCAGGAAAAGGAAAACGAAGTTGCTTGTTGAAATGAGTTATGTTGTTGTTATGGGAAAAGCCACTCAAACATACATTAAACATTAAATACAATCCATGCACACATGGGCCACAAACCAGTATCCTATTTAATTGAGAGAACTCAGTAATTCTGCTTCCATTCTTGTTTCTTCTTGATCATAAATGATGAAAGAGAACAGATTTTAAAAGGGTTTACAAGATGTGTCAAAAAGTACACAGCCCGTATTTATTGTGTCCTGCAGCTATACACTGCAAAAGCAGATGTTTTATTGGTGATACTGGTTTTAGCAACTTATCATTTACCACAGAAGTTACTTTCAATTATTATTTTAAAATTATGGAATGAATGTCCCTTTCCCAGAGGCACCCAGTCACATGACTACCCCAGGCCTCCAAAACAAAGCCTTTTTACCTTGGACTGAACATCAGCATTGTGGTCATTTTGGAGCAGGAGTGCTGCTGATTTTGTATCGTCTTTCCTGGCAGCGATGTGCAAAGCTGGCAGTCTCACTTTCCCCTTGGTGTCATTCTCCAGGAGGACGGCCACTGCCTGATTGTGTCCCTGCTGTAGTGCAACAGCTAGTGGGGTGAAGCCATCCTGATAGAGTGGAAAACAAAATATACTCCATAAGGGGAAGGGCACATATCAACAATCCCATAAGTACTGTACACACATAGGCACATGTTAAATGTATACAGCAGTCATCTTCAGCCTCTGGGTTGTGACCCCCAATATAATGGCCAGCAATTGTCAATGGCACAGGAGTCACAAACTTTATCTCAGACAAACACCTGTGACGTGCACTTACTTAGTCACTTCAAACTGGTCCTTTTCCAATGTCAAGTACATTCCATATAGGCCATTGCACTGATTCCTATGGTATCTCCTTTAATGCTCACCGTATTTAAAAGCATCGTGCATCAAATGATTCTGGAGATATACTTGCAAGAACAAATGGTCCGTTGTTGGATTTGGCATGCATAAGATGGAGAGCCCCTCTTAGGTGCATCTTACAATATACCTCACAATATACCATTTTTAGAGAGTGTGTCTCAAGTTTTCTCATCTCCAGATACATTTATTGTTGTTCCTTCTAATTCTCCCAAATTACATGCTGCCTGTGTGATTCAGTCAGATACCTGGATGTCATTTATTGACTCTGATCCTAAGCAGCAAAGCATCACAATAGTTGTTCTTTCTGGAAACAAAATTTCAGAAATAAATCTTTTTTTTCTTTTGAGTACACTTCTAGTTTTACTTTGAAATGCTCAGTCACCAAAATGTGTCCTGTTCTGCTAATGCTTAAACATAATCAAGTCTGACTATTACAAATATTGCTTCTGTAGTCATTCCTCCAAGTGGAAATAATTTGGCTTCATTATATAAGCAAGCAGAGATAGGGGAAGGAGTATCCAGCAGAGTGTGGAACTTTATGTTTCTTTTCTAACCTGGTAAAATATAATTTTCCAAAGCATCCAGTCTTAGCCAGACTTTGCTCCCATTGACTTCAGTGGTAAAACTTCATTGTCCTCAATGAGGAAACTTCCATTAACATCAGTGGGTACAGACTTAGGCTAATGCTGAGTAATTTTGAAAATCCCACCCTTAGGAAGGCACTTAAGGACAAAAGAGACCGTGATTTGGGTCATGGATGGATGAAGGGATAGGAAGGAAGACAGACAAGGATTAACTGAAAACAGAAGCATTGGGAAAGGCATGGAGAACAGGAAGTTACCATGACCAGGTGAGAAGGTTCAGTTACAGTAACTCCTCGCTTAATGTTGTAGTTATGTTCCTGAAAAATGCTACTTTAAGAAAAACGATGTTAAGCAAATCCAATTTCTCCATAAGAATTAATGTAAATGGAGGGGTTAGGTTCCAGGAAAAAAATTTCGCCAGACAAAAGACTATATATATATATACACACACACACACACACACACAAATATACACAGTATAAGTTTTAAACAAACAATTTAATACTGTACACAGCAACAATGACTGTGAAGCTTGGTTGACGTGGTGGAGGAAGAGGGTGGGATATTTCCCAGGGAATGCCTTACTGCTAAATGATGAACTAGCACTCGGCTCAGCCCTCAAGGGTTAACATATTGTTGTTAATGTAACCTCACGCAATACAAGGCAGCACGAATGGATGGAGGGGAGACAGCATGGCAGAGAGAGACAGAGACATACACCTTGTGTGTGAAAGAGAGACGCGCATTGCCCCTTTAAGTATGCTGACCCCACTCTAAGTACACTGCCCTTTTAAGTAGATCAGCAAGTTGAGAGAGCAGCTGCTGCCAGCAAGCTCCCTCTGTCCTGAGCCCTGTCATGTCCGTCCGTTCCCCCGCTCTATGGAGATGGGAGGCAGGGGGAGGGGGACACCCTGACATTAGCACCCCTCTCCCTTCCCCCTCTCCCCCCACAGCAAGCAGGAGGCTCCCGGGAGCAGCTCCAAGGCAGAGGACAGGAACAGCACAAGGCAATGGGGGAGAGGGACAGCTGAACTGCCTGGCAATTGATAGCCTGCTGGGTGGCTGCTGCACAGAAAACTTAGGGGAGCTGATAGGGGGGCTGCCGATTCACCCTGGTTCCAAGCCCCCACCAGCTAGCTCCAATGGGCTGCTCTTTCTGCAAACAGTGGACAAAGCAGGCAGCTGCAAAACAATGTTATAAGGGAGCATTGCGCAACTTTAAACGAGCATGTTCTCTAATTGATCAGCAACGTAACAATGAAACAAGGTTAACTGGGACGACTTTAAGTGAGGAGTTACTGTATTTATAATCAGAAAGAGGGAAGGAAGCAGACTGATGGATTTGGGAGAAACCGAGTAATGGGGTCAGGAAAGAGAAGAATTTGGCTGGCTTGGGAGCAGGAAAAGAGAAAGATGGAATAGTGAGAAAGGGGAACGTCAGAGGCGGTAAAGACCTGAACCTGTTCAGATATTTGAGGTGTTGCCCAGACTCACCAAACCAGGCATGCACCTCACTAATCTAATACCTTTCACTCCCTTTTGTGTAAAATTATGAGTAGACTTTGAAACAGCTACACTATTATAGCAGCTTATTCTCAAGAGACTACATTCTGTACTGGGAATTAAGATGGGAGAACAGCTGAAAAAACAGCTGACTCAGAATAAGATTGGGACTACATTAGGTAGTGAGATGGCTTTGCGCAGGAGCCTTTCCCCTCTGGAAACTTGAGAGCAAATCCTGGATTAGGGGGACACATCTGAAACTGAGTTTGGTGCTCTCATCCTTGTTCCTAAACAGCACAAAAGCAATGCACATTTCATACATACATATTGCTGTATCTACTCAAGTGAGCATCTGGACTGGAAGAACAGAAATTTCAGGATAGTGGATTTTTTTTATTTTAACCCGAGTTTAACATCAAATAGATAGAAAGTGAGTAGGGTTACCATTCGTCCGGATTCCCCCGGACATGTCCGGCTTTTTAAGCTAAAAATAGCGTCCGGGGGG